TATGCATTTGCAACTGTTTTTTCAATAGCATGAATGGAGAAAAGTCTGTATCGTTAAATCTCTTTATACTTGGCATATTCATCTGAACAATTTTAGCACAAAAAAACAACCCCAAGTCGCTATACAATTGACTATGATCACAAGATGGCTTCATTGGCATAATAGTGTGAACGTCAATATTAGAAGTGGAAAAGCTAAAAATGGTGTGATATTTTTATTCATTATCATGCATCCTTATTAAAATATGATTCTCAATTATAATTTATTTCATAAGATAATGTAGGAGCTAATAAAAATTGCTGACCATTTGTTTATTTTCAAAAAATTGTTGAGGTAGAAAGTTCTAAAAAAGTTTTACGCATTGGAAATTTTCGATTTAAAATTAAAAATTATAAGCGTAAGACATTTATGTGTTATCAAAAATCTGCTATTATGGGAATCTAGGTCCTTTTAGGATAGATGGTTATTTTTTTTGCATTTAGGAATTTTTTTTTTTTTTTTGAAACGTATTTCATAAATCATAGAAATGCTACTGTCATGATTCGTTTGTAACAAATCAATCACCCCTTTAGTTTTCATTTAACTGTTATTATAAAATGAAGTTTGAGGACAAAAGTAAAGACAAGTTTGCCTACAAATTGTGATGCTTATTTGTAATTGAGCGAATTATATTGAATTGTAATGTTGTAATTTATATCATAACTCATTTTAAACTGCACTATGATAGTGGAACGGTAAAAGAAATCCATTAGATAATGTATATAGTTGAGTGAATTTATATTGAAATATTCAAATTCAATCTTTGATATTAATTAATACCAAACACTACACTATTTCAGGTAGAATCTTTGAAAAAGGTATTTAGACTTGTTGAGTGACGCAATGCAGTTTCAGGATAGCCTACACTACTTCAAGACCATTAATTTATAGTCTCAACAATCCTCACTACGTTAGGATTGCTGAATAAGGGTGTTCTCAAGCAGCTCCCCCAATGTGATTAGCCAGTGATCGAGATGTTGCTCAAATCGTTACGATTAATTGAGTGGTTAATGCGGTTAATCGAAAAACAAATTGTTAAAAACTTATTGTTTGAAATGCGGATTTTAAATTTTAGCAAATCAGAGCAGCTCTATGAAAAAATTTGTGATCACAGCTCTAGGTTTTTATGACCTAAATGATAATTATAATCAATTTTTTCGGTCAAACAGTTTGTTTGGTAATCACATTGAAGGAGATGTTTGAGAAGGCCTAAGTCACTACGATTAAATTATAATTTTGTCCAGTCTGATACAATTTGGTCCAGTCCTGGTCTAGTCTTTAATAGTTCATAGTTTGTAAGAATTAACTGATCTAGACTAGTCCAAACTGGTTTGGTCTTAGGACTTAAAGCAATGTAACTTTTTTCAGTCTCGAACCAGAAACTGGTTTATTAGTTTAGACCAGACCACATAGCATTCTTATATATTGCTGGTTTAGCGAGTTTTTGATAACTTAAAAAGGCATTTGTATAAATGGCTTGTTCATGTGTTTGATGGTTGTGTTTAAAGATGCTAGTAAAACTAAGTTCACAATTTCACAATAGTGAAATTATTTCAGCATCTTAGTTGTGACTTGACTTTATTATGCGTTGAGGAATTACTTAGGCCTGCCACCTATACCAATATGTTTTGTTAAATCTTCATGTGAAACCATCGGGAGATTTTGACTATAGTATCGAATGATTATCTAGTCACTTGAAGAATTGGAGTCGATTATTTAGGTATACCAACCTGTTTCTTATTAATTTTGCCAAAAACTCTTGTATAGAATTATAGACATTTGCATTTGACCAAAACATGACTAATATCACAAATATATTCTATACATTTTGTTTTCCAATGCACTCTAAACTATTCCTTCTATCATTCGCATTTGTTACAATTGTTGTATGCGATGGATATGAATGGTATTTCTTAGTAGACAATCATCGTATCTAAAAGGGCTGGGTACGTTTGAGTTTGAGTGGGTCGTCTTACATTATAGTTACCCGATTCAAATTGTCTACAGTATAATCTCAATATAATGAACCTTGTTAAACCGAATTAGCCACTATTATGAAGAATTTTCTATCTAAAATTATAGCAAAGTACTTCAATATACAAAACCTTGATATATCGAATTAAACATCCCAGCTTTAGAGTTTGTTATATTGAGATTAGACTATATTATTTATAAAAATTTTTACATATATAAAAAAAACCTTCGGGCGGCCGAGTCCAAAAATTTTTCAAATGTTATGTAAACCAGTTTATTTTTTTTGTATCGCCTTATTTATAAGGTGAAGAAATTTCAACAGAGTAGCTAAACAAACATCTTTCATATTAGTAAATATCATATCAACTTGTAGTGCTTTATTAACATTATAGTGATTTATTATAATAATAAATAATTATATATATACAAAAAAATGTCCTATAGGTAGTGCATGATGATTTTGGAACTTGGACTAACTTATATCGCATGTTTCAGATAAGGTTAGATAAATTGGTATAGAAAGCTTGGATTAGAGAGTTTAATTAGATAATCTAAATAATAGTAGATTATAGATACAGCATCTAGTATAGAATCTAGTAATAGGTAGACTACTTAAATTAGGTGCTCAAAAGATGCAGATATAACTAAAATGTACTTTCATCAGAATGTACTTGTCTGAGGCCTCTTTGAAAAGGGCACTACATGATTTTACAATCTAATAAAAGCAAAAGCTAAAGAGGCTAACCTTGACTATAAAAAATAAAAAAAAGTAATTTATTACTATAAATTTAAAAAAAAATTTTTCTTACTAATTTATAATTGATAGTTATATTTTTCATATGCTTAATAACTACATTTATCGATGTTTATATTTTTTATATAATAACAATTAAATTACAAGTTTAAATAACATCACAGTTAATTTGAGTTCTTATATATAATATTTTTTAAAAATTAGGCTCTTGTATGTAATTATTTTTAATTTGAGCCTATAATTGTAATTATTTTTACTTTCTAGACCCTTATTTGTAAATTTTACTAAAATTTATAACTTTGATATAATTTCGATATAAATTCTATATAATCTTGACATTAAGCAATTTTGATATATTTTATATGAAATTAAAGTTATATAAATTTTAGAATATGAACATTTATAGAAATTAATATTGACCATAAACTAGTTCACAATCTACTCTAGAACATTAAAATATCTAAGTGAAATTTTTGAATAAAAACAGGCTATTTTTTAAAATTCAACTTATGTTCAGATTTAAAATTTCTGAAATACATCAATATTCTTTATAAAACTTTATTTTAGAATGATCTGTCATCATAATAACCTTTATAATTAACCAATTAAAATCGATTATGTAAACTATATGTCTGATTAGACAAAACAATCAAGTATGTGATATACATAATAAATTTTATTAGTCAACTATATATATTTAATAAAATTTTATTAACAAAAAAACAAAATTGTAATACAAACATAATACAAAAATTATGCTAATTAGAAAAAACAATGCAAATATAACAATTATGAAACTGTACTACCAAGACAAACTAAAATTCACAAGCTTGTACAACTCCAATACTAATAACAAATCTAATTACTTCAATTACAATAATACTAATAACAACTCTAATTACTCCAATAATGATAACACCAATAATAATTCTAACAACTTAAATTATACTAATGGCAATAACAAAATCACCTAAAAAAAAATATCAGCAAAAAAAAATACAACAAATTTTTTTTTAAAAAAATATATTTATCTTAAAGACAATCTTGATCTAATTTCATGTTCAGTCATTGCTTTAAATGAAATATTTAAAAAAAAATTAGTTTTGCAATTCAAACAAAAAAAAAAGAAAATTTAAAAAATATCAATACTTATCCTAAAGACCAGCTCCAGTCTATCTTGTATTTAATCTCTAATTTCAAATAAAAAATACTTAAAAAAAAGATTAGTTTCAGTAACTGTTAATGATTAAAATAAAATCTAATCAAAATGTAATTTTTCTGTTTTTTAAAGAAAATTTAAAATTTTTTGGTGGATATTTTTTAGAGTTTTTTTTAATATTAGAAATAGGATTTAAGTTTAGATTTATTAATAAATAAGTATATGTGGGTTTTATAAGCTCTAAAGATAGACATGAAAAATCTCTAGTTTTATTTTAATCAGATTTTATTTTAATCTGCAACAGTAACTAAAAAGAAAAAAACTAATAAAAAAAGGCTGTTATTTATCTTAAAAACTCAGTTTTGATCTCAATTTGTTTTTTTTTTAGTGTTTAGATAGAATCTTGTTCATGACTTTATTTATTGTTAATACTTTCATTACATATATTACTACATTTCCATATTTATATATATCAAGTATACTAAGCTTAGATCCAGATCCTATTGATTACTTATATTGCTTTAATTAAACCATCACTTGTATAATAAGTGTTCCCATCTGCTATCTGGCCACCAATCCATTATCTGCGATCCAAACCTACCAGAACAGTACATCCTTATGAATAGCACTCACCCAGTACCAATTTGTGTTTAATCATCTATTAAATAAAAAAAAAAAACTAAAAAAAAGTTAGAATCGATTAAAAAAAAATTTTAATAATTTTCACCTCTGTTAATTTACTCTCTATTGAAATCACAACTCTATTGCCTCACCTGCTCATTATTAAATCATGGTTTTAACAACCTAAATAAAAAAAATCTCTAACCCACCTACTATTGAAATTATTAATCCACCTATATTGAAATCACTAACCCACCCACTATTAATATAATTAACCTACCTGCTATTGAAATTATTAATCCACCTACTCTTGAAACTAATAACCACCTGCTGTTGAAATCACAAATCACTCATTTAAAAAAAAAAAGTTATTAAAAAAAAAACAAAAAACAAAAAAAAAAACTACAAAAGAAAGATGCCAAAGCCACTTTCAGTACTAATTTTACTAACTCAATGAATCTAAAAACAAAAGAAGATACTAGTAAATAAGAAACAAGAAGAAAACAAATACAAGCAAAAGACTACCAACTCATCTATTTCTGTTTTCAGCATTAATTCATAATCTAAAGAGCCTAAAAAAAAAAAAAAGAATGAAAGTTAATAAAAAAAAAAACCAGAAACAAGAAAAAAAAGCAAACCACAAAATCACCTCAATACTGTCCTGGTGCTAATTTTACTAACCCAGCAAACCTAAAAAAAAAGAAGATACTAGTGAACAAAGAACAAGAAAAAAAAAATACAAGCCAGAGACTACCAACTCACCTATTCCTGTCCCGGTGTTAATTTCACGATCCAGAAAGCCTAAGGAAGAGAGAGAAAAAAAAAAGGAAGTTAATCAAAAAGAAACCAGAAACAAGAAAAAAAATACATAAGAAAGAAACCACAAAATCACCTCAATACCATCCCGGCGCTGATTTCACAAGCTAGCATGCCTAAAGAAGGAAGAAGAGAATAATGACGTTAATGAACAAGAAACAAAAAACAAGGAATCCGAGAAAAAAATTCAAATGGAACTAGACTACCAACTCATCTATTACCGTTCCCCCAGTGCAGTTCACGACCCGGCAAACCTAAAGAAAAAAGAACAATAAAGTTAGTTACTAAGAAGACAACAAAAAACAAAAAAAACCCCCAAATACCTGATGTCACGCCACGAAGAACCTAAAAAAAAAAAGAAACAATTAGCGAACAAAAAAAAAAAAAAAATACAAAAAACTAAAAAAAAATAAACGAAAAAAAAAAAATTACACCTGTTGCGCTGGAAAAAAAAAACAAATCACTATAATCAAGAATAATTCTTGTTTATATATGATCGGCAATCTCAAAAATGATTGGCCGATCATATAAGGGTCGCAGTGCGACGGGTCGCCAATTTATTTTTGCCTTCTTTATAATATGCCGGATATTTTGAAAAAAAGATTATTCCGGGAGTTCATACTTACCATACAAAATTAATATGAAATTTAAACTTTATAGTTTGTTATAAAGACGTTCATTCTACGTACGTACGTACGTACGTACGAAATCGACTATATATTTGACGTACATATGTGCACATATGAGCGCATATTTGCACATCACATTTTTCAGTCCACTGACGCACTTTCGACGCAATGGCAGCTGGTAAAAAAAAAAACCTGTGTTGAAAATAAGGCAACTCGCCAGAGGTGTGACGTTGGTGATTTGGGTAATATCTATGGGAAGTTACTATCGGGTTAGTGCTCCTACCTCGCACATAAGCTACGTCCTTTAAATAACTTTTAAGGACTATAGAGGCTTAGAATATGACTCACCTTTATTTTCTATTACTTGTTCGGTCGAACAAGCCTTTTACATCATCCAAGCTTGTTGAGATGCGGCTTACCTTGATTTTCGTAAATGTCACTTTTACCCTTGAAGATACGCTAGGCAAAACAAGTATTCAAGCCAAGCAAATATGAGATCGATCAATTCGGTCACAATATCGTGGGCAGTGTGCTGGGGAAATCGAAAATTAATTTTTGTATTATCGTTATAAATTTCTATTTTTATGTTTATGTCTTAAGTGAAAAATAATCCTGCTCTTAAATTTAAAAAATTGTCAATTTCCCCCTTATCGCAGCACCTAGCCCATATTTTCAATCGTGCAATAGTCAGTCAAAATCAATTATAAAATAACTCATAAAACGCTTGATCTTTAAAATACACTAAAGGTTTTCTTTAAGCAATTAACCAGTAGTTAACCTTTGGTTAATTCATTAATTAATGTTAATCATTAATTCCTCATTAAAAATTTTGTATACAAATGAAGTTTTCTAGAATCATTCTTTTATCAATTTTTATCACCTTTGTATTATCAAAGGATGTAAAGTATATAGAAACTAAATCATCAGATCACTCTAACTACAAAACATCCACAAGTTGGACCAAACCATTTGTTCCTACTTTTTCTGCACCACCTGAAACAAATGATGTTAGTGTCCCAACAGGAACACCTATAATTCCGGGTCTCTTACCAGGAATGACTGAAATTCCTGCAGTACCAGGACAGGATATTGCCGCTGCGAATGCTATATTATTTGCATCTGACATTAAAAATTCAAATCGAGAAATAGAAGGTGCATTAATAGAAACAAGCTTTAAAAGTACAATTGGTGTCCTATTAGATGATATCTCCGAAAGCTTTGGGATGCGCGAAAAAGTAGCAAATTACTATTTGAAGCAAAATACCGATTTTTGGATCCAAAAGGCGCATATGCAAACAATATTTACTGAAAATCGGCAAATTTTTCGCAATTTCTATTATTCTAATAAGAAACAACTAACACTACCTCCAGAAGAAGTTTGGGAATTCAACCTTGGTAAAGCTCGTAGAACGAAAATTGGTGTTCACGATTACATTGCTATGGATGTCGAATTTTATTCGGTTCTTGTTACTGATGCCAAAACCATCAATAGATCTGAACCAGCTTTGGATAAGATTGGTGGAAAATGGTCTGGTAAGTATTAAACTATTGTATCAAACTCATTATGTAGTGAACCAAAAATTCTAAAAATGAACCGTAGATCATTGGATACTACCTGTGGATCCTGAATTCCTCCTGCAAAGAACTGGCTACGCGTGCGTTAACGAAAACTCGTTTCCCAAGCACACTGTTGAAAGTGAGAATGTGTGGGTATATTACGATGATACTTGTGAAGCTGAACCACCGGTAACTTTAATATATATATTTACTTTTTTTTGCACGCGATTGTAATTAATTTCTGTGGCTAAGTGTATTTTTCGGTATTAGCAACCCACATACGATCCGAATGAGATTCGTTGCCACTATAGTGAATATCCTGCAATCTCTTGTATTGATGCATTGGAACAAAACGTTGGTTCTGTGAATGGTAAGAAATTTTATGACATTAATTATTTCATTTCATTTGACTGATTAAATAAATTTAAAAATTTTTCAGTGACGATAACGTGGCATAGAATTCCTTTTACTGAGAATAAAGCAAAAAAATATCGGTTTGGAAATCATACTTCTTCCTTACCTGATTTGGTTGGAGTTCGTAAAAATTTATTAGAACAAACTCGCGTAGCTTATAGATATTACGGAGAAAATAGTTGTGTAATGCATGAGGGTCGCGGTCAATGTATTGGAGGTAAATCCGCTAGACCTTTTTTTTTCAACACGCGTGCATTAATAATATTTTACATATTACAGCTCCTGGATGGAGACGACTTTTACGCTTTACTTCGTCTGCCATCAATTCGGGTAAAACTGATATTCATCTAGGAAATGTGACTGATCCTGATTACTTGTATCATGGTGTATTTGAATGGGATAATTGTCATAAACATTTTGTAAGATATATGTAAAAGAGCATATGCTTTGATTAAATATCTTAAAACATCATAATTCGTAATTCTAACAAGTTTTTAATAGCATTTCCAACATTATGGTACATTCCTTTTCGGTGAAACGTATGTTGTGTATTTATTATTATTTTATCAATATCGAGCCGATCTGATGAAATTACATTTTTACAGACCTGGACGTAAAGTGGGATTTTGCCTGCAAACTACATGGCGTTACTTTAATACAGAATATACTTATTTAAATACTCCATACGATACTTGTGCTTATCAAGGGATCAGTGTTGGTTGGGGAGACGACTATGTAGCAGGATTGGTATAGTAATAGGTTTTGCAATATATTAAATTGAAATTTTCTAAATTTATTAAAGCGTTACTTTTTTTTAGGGTTGTCAATGGATCGATGTTACTGATTTACCTGCACAAAAAGCTATTTTAAGTGACAGTTTAAATCCGGATGGTATATATTTCGTTCACTATTGAATTGAATACTTTTGCAGTGATAAATTTATGCCATATTTATAAAAATAACTTTTATTAAACAGGTTTTCTTTGTGAGGGAAGCTTGGTTCTAAACGGTAGTAATGCTCTTCAATGGGATTTGACTAATTACACTACCTCATACGGATATCCTGTTTCACGAACAAAATGCAATTTTCCCAAAAATTGGGATTCCAATAATTACGATGGCATAAATTATACTCTGCATAAAGATTCGTCTTTCGTAACGGAGCCTTGTACGCGTGGTCAATCAGGTCCTTTGCGTGACTGGTAAAATTTATAATCTTAATTCAATAGATAATATAATTACATATAATATTATTTATTATTATTATTTTATTTCAACATTTATAACATTTATAATTAATGTCTCTTTTCAATGAATAATTCATTAGTGGATTCCGGGTTCAGAACAGCACAATAGAATGTACTCCGGGTGAAAATGTCACATTGGGTTTTTACCTTTTCAAAAGTAGTAAACATACTCCTTCAGTCACTGTACGCATTTGCGAATCTTCAAGGGCGTTAAATAGTTCTACACATTGCGAGTAAGTACTTATCATTACATTTAACAAAAATTTCTTATATTAAGACTTTTATTTTTTTATTTGTAGGTATGTATATGCTTTAGCAATTACAGTCGTTGAATTATCCTCAACTGAATCAAATCCTGCAAAAGTTACCTTTCAATGCCCAGTAGCTCGTGACAAGGTTGAAACTGGTGGCCTTTACTCTGTCTTAGTTGCACCAACATTTATTGAAGATGATCACGTGCATGTAACCATTGTTAAATAATGTATTAATATATCTAGAAAATAGAGTACGTACGTACGTACATAATACTGTAATCAAAAAATAATTGGTCTGTCGCTACGCTCCAGACCCTTAGTGTCTATGAAAGCTTATATAAAAGTTGCGTTTTTGATGCATTTGACCAAATGTTATGAAGATCACATCAAAAATGCAATTTAGGAATTTTTTGCTGTCCGCACGCGTGTTCAAATTTGTAAATTAGTGTACCAAAAACATGCATATTCACGCGTTAGTGCAACAAGATGATTACGCTCCAGACACGCATTTTCCTAGTATATAAATAAAAAGAAGGTATTACTAATTTAATTTGATAATAAATTATTTTTATTATTATTATCAATAGAAATCTTTTTTGCATATATTAGCATTATTGATTTATGTCTTTATAATTTTGTATATGGTTGTTCGGGTTTTCATGAGTTTGTTTATGTTAATAACCTTTCATCATATAGTTTTAATGTGAAACTGGAATATAGAGCAGAAATTTCTTTATCGTCAATCGATTCCTCTACCAATGTTCTAGTTTCTGATTCCTAATAATCACAAACCGAAACTCATTTTAATAACAAAATATATTATTTTTACTTTTTTGAATTCAGGGTTTATTTGGTCAAATTAAAATCTTTCGATGCCAAATATATTATTTTTTTTTTGAATAAAAAGTTAAATAAAAGTTAAATTGTTACTATATAAAGAAATATCATTAAAAATCTTAAAATCAATCATAAATCTAAATATTTGAGGGTAGTGTTTCGATCCTATTCTTTAAGGGCCATTCGGATTGAATTCGGATCCTACTTTGTGTATCCGGATGATAATCCG